TGTTTGACAAGATCTCAAATCTGAGAGGCCCCAAATATATTGCAGCTGAGGCACAAATCTACCATTGCATCCAGTGACTCCAGCCATACCAAAATATAGATATCGTGTTTTTATTAACGCAAGTATCATGTAATGAGCAACTACTCCTTCCAATCTTAAATATAAGACCTAACTAACAAAGTCATAGAAATTAAACAAATCAATTAAGTTGGTTATTTGCCATTATTATGTAAATAATGTGTATCACTTTTCCTAAAATACCATCATTTAATAAGGGTATTAAATGTGAGAGACAAAGAGAATAAGAAAAACTATAAAATTAATGAGGTTAACGTGAGAGAAAATATTAAATAAGGGAGATGAAGAAAATGAAGGTCCTATATTTAGAACCAAAACAAATCTTTCAACTAGAAATTATATTTAAAACCTGAGTTATTGGCATCAAAATGGAAAAATGAATGCTCTGTCGTGGTTAAATAATGTATGCACATGATACTAATCCGTGATAAGTTTCATAAATGATTTCAGATTTCTCCAAATAACCGAAGTGGGAAAAAAATATTAGGTTACTACTTCAACTTTTGTGAAGATAGTCACAAGCACAGTATATAATATATAAGAATAGGGAAGGAAGACAACAACGAGTAATTAGACGGCTAAGCACCTCTTTAAAGGAAGAAGTAAAGAGACTTGATTGCCCAAAGGCTAGACGAAAAGCTTTTCCAGCGTAAGGTAGCTTATCTTCAGCCTTTGCAAGCATCTCTTGAATTAGCACTGGATCCTTAACCGACACCAGAAGCCGAGTAGGACCTAACCATAGCTTAACAACTGGCCCATACCTTTATGAGATTCTGACAGCAGATCTGCAAGACAACCAGCAAAATGGAATCTTCAGGCGTTTAAATATTGACAGCATACGCCAATTCTATTGCTATTATGGAACTCCATGATTATCAACAATTCAACCATTCCCGCATTGAACCATATAATTTCCGTTCACAAGCAAGCATGTAATAAATACTACAGATTCCCCTTCAATCTTCTTTTATAAAATCATTGCTGATTAGAGTTGTGCCACATATAGTTTTCAATCTCAAACTGCTCAGTGTTATGCATCATACAACTTAGTCAATAGACTAGAGGTGCATTCAGACCCTTCATCCCATAGATCCTTCTCAAAAGAATGAATGCACACACATACTGCCAATAAATAAAGACATGGCGAAAAAAAGAATACCATCTATTTCCTGCAACCAATCGTAGGCTGAAAAAAAATTCCATTACAACCTTAGCTCGACAAGAAATCTATTCAACCAATAAAGGTGATCCAGGGAACAGAAGCGTACTTAAAAGTACTCAGATCTTTAATCTAAATGCAAAAAAAAAAAAAAAAAACAAATCTGATATTAGCAACAGAAGTAGACCGCCGACGAGCATCAAGCAAGACCCATATCTATGCACCGCCACCGCCTTATAAACTAACGATAAATTAACCAAATCTAAAATTGACTTAGCAAGAATCCATCAAAGAAATTCAGAAAACAACAATTAATTCTACTGCTCGAAGAAGGCAACGGCTGAACTCAACAAATAATGGAAATTTAAAAAAAAATTAAAAAAACTGACCAGTGAAATTCTCCCGGGAAATAAGCTTGCAGTGTCCGTAAAAGGAAGGACTGGGAATCCCAGGAATGTTCCTAGCTTGATACCACAATCGGAACAACTTGACGACCTTCCTGAGCAAAAGCGCAGTGATGACAATAAGAGCAAGCCACAGAAAAGCATTGACTTCTCGAGTGACCAAGTCCCTGAGGAGCTGAGAAGAGCCGCCATCGCCGCCTCGATTGCAAGAGGAAGACAGAGATTGGAGAAGAAGTACCAAGAAAGTGGAGGGTTGAGAATCACATGGTGAGTTCATTTTCTTCGCATCGGCGAATGGGAAGAGAGAGGTTGATCTCGAGGCTTCGCAAATTGAAACGGTAGCTTCTGAAGCCTGTGCTATTCCCTTCTCCTTCCTCTTGTCCTGACTTTTTGTGCTGTCAGTCTCACGGCCTCAATGATGACAGATAAGACGACGACTTCGACTGTCGTTTTGTGCCCGTGATTCCGCGACGGCTCGTTTGGTTGATTAAAGAGTACGGTGATGCGTCTGCCACGCGTTGCTAGGAATTTCGTAACGCCGCGGATATTATTGAGAAAAATTAAAAGCTCGGTGGACTAATGTTGAGAATATTTGAAATTATCTTATCTTATTATCTAAGAAAAAAATTACTATGTAATCATATATATATATATAAGAAATTAGTCACTAAAGATGGCAAAAAAATTCAAAAGTCTCATAAGAAATAATAAATGAATGGCATGCTAATTACATGATTCGGTGTAGAAAAGGGTAACAGATCATGACATATTAACAAATCAAAATTTTTTAGTAATTAAATTATTTATATGAGACTGCATTGCATAATAATTTATTCTGTTACTTAATTTCTTTATGTGTGAGTATAAAAATTGGTAAACACAAGAATCAAAATAAGGTAGTTGGCCAAAAAAAAAAAAAATAAGGTAACCCAATGAGAGATATAAGTTCACAGCATGACTAGATAAATAAGAAATGATAATAGGTCATGATATATTTTTAAAAATTTAGTAATTAAATTATGTAGTTACTATTTTTTTTTTTATTTGTGAACATGATAATTGTTAAACTTAGTGATTAGACAGGGTAACCCCTGGTTCTCCTCTATGCTTTTCAATATTTTGTTTCGATTTGACAGGAGAATGCTATAACAATTAATTGGAGAGTGAATAATGAATTTTTTCCATATAAAATTAAAATAAAAAATTACTGAAAAGCCCATCATTATAAAATTATTATTCAAAAATAACTAAAATTTATTTAATGATCTACGTGCTGTGTATCTTCAACTGTGCAACTTTTTTTCCATTACGTATTATTTATCTTCATCTACAAATAAAATAAAAAATATTTGCATATAACTAAAAATACATTACATATAATTAAGGAAGAGTTATACCCATTATACTTACTCAAATACTTACCCAAAAACCTAAATTATTAGATAATTTTGGACAAATAATTTTATAATAAAAATTTTCTCATTAAAATATTGAAAGATAAAAAAAGATTGAAGTTTGTAAAGGTGAAAAGTTGATGGATCCGTCCAGAGTAAAAAGAAGTTAGTTACTGAGAACTGAGAAGAGAAGCAGATGATAGGACTCATAGAGGTCAAAGTAGGACCATAAAGCCTATAATCTTGATTTCTAGTTATTAATTGGCTATTAAAGAGCTATGCATCCGTTGTTATACTTTAGCCGCTATATTTGACTTTTTAAAAGGATATATAGAATCTTCGTCAGGTGGTATTTAAAAATAAAAAAAATTGCCAACTATTAATGTCGATGCTAATTGACGAACATTCAAATGGTTGGAGCAAGAATCTTTCCCCCTCACAGGCATGCACGTTTGGTAGGAAAAATTATATCTATAAATACAACGCACGTAAATGTAATGTGTTTGGTTCCAAATATAAAAAGCACGAATCAAGAAGTTTGTTTAAATTTTAAATATAAAATTTTAATTTATTTTTTTGAATTTTATATTTTAAAAATTTTATTGAATAATGGTTTATTTTAGAAAAAATTAATACACATTTTTTTAGGATTAATAACTAACTCAGCTGATTTATTTAATATATATAATTAATTATTCAACTTATATATTTAAGATTAAAGGAAGTAGCTTATCTTACAACAGAAGCATTAATATCATTCTATGACATAATATTCTTATATATAATTTAGAAATAGTTTGGAATTTATTTTAAAAAGGAAAAGTCAATTCTGGATTTCTGGGGTTTGGGTTGGGCTTGCGTTTGACAACGAAAAATAGTGTACCTAAGGGAGGGGGAAAGAAGAAGAAGAAACAGAGCATAGAGGCAGGCAAAGACAAACATACCGATATGGAATTTTTTTTTTTAAGGAAATATATTGTTCAGCCCAATATAAATAATTAATTATTAAAAAGTTCTATAACAAATGAACAGCATGACCATGACAAAATTCGATAAGGAAATGACAATAATAGGTTATGGCGTATTGATAACTCAATTTTTTTTTTTAATGATTAGATTACTTATGCGGCACAGCAATTTTTCATATTGTTTACATTCATAAAACGAAATGAATTAGAGAGCACATCTACTAAATAAGGAAAGAGTGATGAAACTTAAAAGAGAATATGGCTAGGGACCTACATTTCATAAAATTTTATTTAGGAAATAGGGAAGAGATATTCTTGAGCCAACATGAACCTTACTTTTGTTGGAAGGCACAAAATCTTGGTTTATTCTTTTCATACGAATAAAACCCAATCATTTGTTAACCTTTAAAGTTTTGGATGATATTCAAGTAATCAGGCCTGTTTGATTTCCTTTTTTTTTTTTTTATAGTTGTTCTGATTTTTTAAAAAAAGAGGAAGAAGAAGAAGAATGCTCAAATATTGACCTCCAGCTTGAACTATTATATTAAAATGAAACTAAGATAAAAATGAGTTAGATTAAAGTAAAAAAAAAATTTAAAGGATACAATTGAAATTAAATTAAAAATTATAGTAAATTTCATGGATCACATTGAAACCAAATAAATTCAGAGAGAAAATAAAGCATAAAAATCAGTTTCTCTTTTTTTTTTTTTAAAAAAAAAAAAAGAGTATGAGATCAGATCTTTCTGCAGATAGAACTATATCTTTGACTTGGGCGAAAACTTGAGCCTTACATTTAGAAAAGAGGCCTAAAAGATAAGACTATAAACTGGAATAAAGGAGTTATATAACAGATACGAATCAAATTCTTAATTTACAATTAACATTCAGATCAATTATCAGCATCTAGAAATATAACATCAAAGCTAATTAATTAGTGGCAACCGAAATGATGATGAACTTTCAATATATGATTCCCCATCATTCTCAATCAAATTACAAACCTTACAAATCTACTACGAATTACATATCTTAATGATTAAAAAAAAGGGGGGGAAAAACCAAAAAGCATTATCCTTAATTATAAGGATAGAAAATTCTCAAGCTTTTGCTGCCTCGTCAAATGGTTGGTTTTTAATGGGAGATTCAGGCAAAGGCATGCTAAGAACAACACAAGAGTGATTATTCTCAGATTTTGAATCAGCAGTATTATTAATATTAATATTATTATTATTATTATTTGGAGCTTTTAGAGGCAATATTGGTGGCATTACAATTTCTTGATGTGTCTCTAGCATTATCACTTTGGCCTCCATACTCTCTTTGTGCTTTCCCCATAGGACTGAGTATAGCCCTATCACTATCAACATTGAGCCAATCACCCTGCATTGCATATATAATAATATTGCTTTTGTTAAGAGAAGCCAACTATATATATAAGATGTGCTAATTAAATGAGAAATGATCGTTTTTATGTGTGTGAATACTTTATGGAAGAAAGTTACAAAAATACCCCACATCAATATGTAAATCCCAATTCTAGCGTGAAATCTCTAGGGATCAGTTTGTGATTAAAATTTTGTATGAAATTACATGAATGCCCTTAGTTGTCATTGTCTTAGTTGTTGTTTATGATAAGTGAGAGAATGAATTATTACCCTCCGAGATAGATTTGTTCAGAAAGGATGAAAGAACCCATGATGGCGACAATAATCATCATCAAAGGGCTAAAGGCAGTGGCAAAGACAGGTCCTTTCTTCTTGATCACCAAACCTTGAACATAGTATGATATGCTTGATGTCACAATCCCCTATATATTATAATATCATCAGAATCGTCAATTTAATTAATTAATTAATTATGACTTTAATTTGCAATACTAATAAAAAGAAATTAAAAGAAATCGAGTGAACTTACAGCATAAGCAGCAGCAAGCAAGTTCATATCCCAACCAATTCTCCACACAGAAGGCTTGTGTTCCATCACAAAGGTCACAACAATGGCCTGAAGAGTGCCTATGAAGCACACCAGAGATGTGAGGCTTAGCTGATGGTTCTTGTATGTCTCCAGAACTTTGGCCTGCACAATCATTCATTCATTATTAAACCAATATGTTACACACACACACACACACACACACACACACACAATTTTCAGTATTTAATACAAGATCCAGTTAACTAATTTAAAAAGAATAAGTAAGTTACTAAACTACTTTAAAAGTATTTATATTTATCTTTTTGCTCCGAACTAATTTACTTCATTTATAAATTGATATATAATCTAATGATACACATAAATATTTTAGAAATATCATATAACATAAGATATAATTAAATAATTTATTAGTTTTTTTAATCTCCTCAAATTAGTCAATTGGGTCTTATATTAAGGACTGGAGGTAATATATATGTGGAACTTGAAGATAGTATAAGAAGTCTTACTTGAAGAACAAAGAGGGAGGCCCAAGCAAGAGTGGCAATGATGAGGAAGATGGAGCCAATTAACCATTCTCTATCAGAAGTAGAGTTTGCAGCAGAAGAAGAAGAGGAGATTGCAGAGGTTTTGTGAGAAAGCTGATTATGAAGATGTTTGGTCCAAACCATATCCACAATAGGCCCTTTGTATAGTGTCATCAACATGGCTCCACCAACTGTCACTAACGTTCCCACTATCTTTGCTTGGCATCTCACCTTTCTCATATTTATCTTTTCCATCCTGCTTAGTTATATATTTATAATCAATATTAACCCAAAAAATATGTATAATTAACATTATTAAGAGAAAAAAAGTTGAGAATAATGTTTTATATACCTGCATAATGCTGCCATCACAAAAGTCATTGCAGGAAGCATGTTGCTCATCGCACATGAGAAGGTTGGGGATGTAAATTTCAACCCAGCATAGTAGAAATTTTGATCAATCACAGGCCTGTTCCAAATATATCATTATTAAAACCCACTAATTAAATTTCTTGTTAATTAATTCCTAATTAGTTTATTGTTATTTTACTCTAGCAGTAGATCAGTTGATATTGACCAGGAAAAAAAATTGTGATGATTCAAATCAATCGGATCAGAGGACAAAATTTTATTAAAAAAATGAACGACTTCTATTAAGACAAGTAGAAATCTGAAATAAGAATATTACAATAAAGCAGCACATAACACATCAAGCTGTAGAGTAACGACAAAACTAAAGTGGAGATGAACTTTTGAGGATAAGTAATAATTGTGATATTTATACTTTAGCTATTATATTCTTACTGAAAAGTGAAAACAAAGAAATAAATAGAGAAGAAACAACAAAATATATTTGGAACTTGTAGCTTTTGAGTAAATTATTGAAGATATATACTGACCCAAGGAGAGCAAGTATGAAGATTTGCATGAAAAGTCTGAAAGTAATCCTTGGTTGAGCTTTCCTGGAAAATTATAAACCCACCACAATTAAGTAAACATATATGTGTAATATATACAATAACAAGTCTTATCTGATTGAGTCAGATCAGTATCGAAACTCAGGAATGAAATAACCTTTCAAAGAAGAAGGCGAAAGGGGCGATAACAGCAGTGGCAAAAGCATGGCGATAAACAACAAGGACGTAGTGGCTCATGCCCTGGTTAAGAGAAACCTTTGTGATAATGTTCATTCCTGCGTAACCAAACTGCAGAGAGATCATGGCGAAGTAGGGTTTTGAGTTCTCCAGGAACTTTCCACAGCACCCAAGCTTCTCGGAAGCCATTGAAGAAGAAGAAGAAGATGACAGAGAGAAATATATTAGATAGATATAGAGTTATTAGTGGAGAACGAAAGAAAGAAGAAGAAACTAAATGTTGTGTTTCTTCCTAAGGACTATGCTTTGGATGAACCCTATATTTATATCAACCTCACCTCCACTTTGTCTACGTCATATTCAATAATAAAGCCCTCTCTCTCTCTCTCTCTCACACACACACACACACACACACTCACACACACACAATCAATCAACTGGGTGTAGGTCTAGGTCTAGCTACTTGCATAGTGGTGCTACTTGCTTAAAATGATTTCAAGTATAAATAACAATGATTTTTGGAAATAATTAATTATATGAGATATGAAATTATTTAACAGTTAATATATAATTTAAAGAATTAGTTTTATTTCTTGGTGCTTAATTTATAAAAAAATGGGTATTAATTCTCATAAAATGTCTCTTTTAATCACTTGCATTCAACACTACTTCCTCATGCGATTAATTGAGTGCGTTTAGGAAAAATTATAAATTTAAAAAATAAAATAAATTGATCTCTTACATTAGGACTAAAGCAAATTAAACCTCTATATTATCTCTTACACTTAATATTGAAGGAAGTATTTAATTTTCAAATTAATTAAATCTTAAATTGTCATTCTCTGAAATCATTATTGAGGTAACGACAACTTGCATATGGTTGCGTTAATGGTGACACACTAGGTGCATTTTGGCCCAAAATTTTTTTACAAAATTTGCATTGATCAGATACTCGATGATTTATTACTAAATGCCACAAATTCACTTCAATCAAGTGATGAAAAAGTAATTTAACAAAATTTATGACATGAGTTTTCTTGCATTATTGCATTTTCGCCCAAAAAAATTTCTATATACTACATTCAGTCCTTAATATAAGACCTCGTTTAACTTTTATGTTGGTCCTAATTATAAGAGCCAACCTACTTTATCTCCTATATTTGTGTATTTTTTTCTAAGGTAGTGTCTCTAATAATGGAAGTTCTAACCAATAAACTTGATTAACAAGAATATTTTAGGAAAGACAACACATATTTATTACAAATAACTAATTTAACTTATTTTCTTAATCTTCTCAAATTAGTCAACTAGCTGTTATAATTAGGACCGGAAGTAATATATTGTATGCACATTTAATACACTACCTCTTGTCTTAAATATACAATTCATTTTGTAATATAATTTAAATTTTATATTTGGGATTAGAGGCAGCATATTCCTATGAATCTCTCGCTCTCGATTCTTGATGAAGAATATTGCAGGATATTGCGGTGTAATTTTTTGATATACTTTATTATTTCTTTTTGGCATATTACATAGCAAATTAACAATAGAGAAAGTGTTATATGATATTTGATTCTAAAGCCACTTCTCTTTAATTTGTAACTAAAAGCTTTATTATATATCATGCACTTAACGATAAAGGGATAGCCTTTTTTTTTTTTAAATCAGGTTTCCTTACTTCAAAATGTATGTGTCAGAAGTTTTCCTCTCCATAAAGATTCATATTCTCTCACTTTATGCCGTAGATTAGCATTTTGACATAAAACGAATTGAAATGAACTTCAATTATTGAACAATATTCTTCTTTATACAATTGAGAGAATAATTTAATTCCCCTTTTATACAACTTGAATTGGATGACTTGTGATCAATATATATCTAAAGATTGTTACTTAGTTTTTATATTATTTTTAAAAGATATAGTTAGTTAATTAATTAATTAACCTGACCCTTTGTTCGCATAATTAACCTGAGCTTTTGTTCCCATTAGTTCATCAATATCCATATCCGATATGTAATCATTAATTCCAATAATTATGCTAATTGTAACAATGATGGAAAGTGTACATTAATTAATAAATTACTAAATAAATGAGCCAGTCACTACTCACCACACATTATGTGTTACACTTACGAAAAGTGTGGATGTGGAAAGCGTTAGCCACAAAAATTATATATTACCCAATCCCTAATATAAGAACTAGTTAACTAATTTAAGTAAATTAAAAAAAATTAGTTAAATTAGTTATTTGTAATAAATAAGTGTTGTCTTTCCTAAAATATCCTTACTGCTAAAGTGTATTGGTTAAAATTACTATTATTACAAGGACTATTTAAAAAAAAAAGACAAATATGAGAGACATAGTGAGTTAGAATGTTATATTTGAAACCAAAATTAAAATTAAACAAGTTTTTATATTAAGGATCGAAGGTCGTATGTTCTATCATGTAATTAAAACACAGACATAATTATGTATGTGTTTTAATATACAACTTAATTAATTATAGAGATTAATTCACTGTTGAAAAATAAAGTTTATATCACTTCATTATTATAAAATTATTCAAACTGAGTCATTGTTTATTCAAATTGAATCATTGTTCTAATTATAGTCATAATAATTCATTGTTGATCGGGGCCTTGTGATCCAACTAACCAAGCATCTTCCGTGAAATTGCGAATTCTTCAAATCCTCAATGGATCTGTAAGTTATCGCAAAAAATTTTATTCTCAAAATGTGTCTATGTAAACTTCCGCTTTTAATTATGAAATTCACAGACACACACACACACACACACACACACACACACACACACACACACACACACACACACACACACACACACACACACACACACACTATGTGTAAAAAGAGAGTGGGATACACGTAGTATAGTAATGGTGATTAGTGAGAATCTGAGTCACTAAAGTGAAGGTGTAGGAAACAAGTATATATTTGAGATCATCCTCACTTCCCAAACACTGTCACTAATTAACAAATAAAATTGAAAGGACGACGACAATATAGATTAATTATTTGAATTTCTGTCTATATGTGTTAATTTCTTAATTAGTAACCTAGTCTTTTATTGTCTATATGACTTAACGAAAATTTGCAATATTGTCAAGTCTCATGAACTTAACATCAATAACTTGTATATTTTTTGGAGTGGCATTAGTGAAGTTTGAATTCAAATTAAAATATATTTAAAAATAAATAGTTAAGTCATAAAAAAATATCAGTGATTAGTCCAAATTTGAAATGGGTTTGATGTCAATCAAGAGAAAACTTTGCCAAAACGTTTTTTAATCATTTCAGCGTATTAAAATATTATTTTTCAGTAGTAAAAACAATTAAAGTTAAGTTAAATTCTTGAAGTGAAAAGTTGAAGTTGGAATTATATTTAAGTTGGATCCATAAGGTAAATAAGACAGCTTGAAGTGGAGCACCAAAATAAATGGGCATCTAATCATCCCCCAATCATTGAAAATTTCATCACCCGCATGATCAGAAAAGCAAACCCTAATATCTCACATATATAACATAAATTAAATGTCCAGGTAAATCATCACATCACCCAAAAGTCATGTCGAGAACAAACATCAAATTGAAATTAAAAGACAAATTAGGGCAATTCATAGTGGCCTTTTTTAAAAAAGCTAGGGTGGTCCAGTTCTTATGTTTCAGAAATAGCTTCTATTGTTAAGGATTTATAAATAATATAATACTCCTATAATATAATTTATTAAAATGTTGATAATTTTTTAATATAACTATCTAATTGGATGATTCCGAGTCTACGATTTTATGTTTGAGCGGCCAAAACCCTTCCACTAGATCAACATCTGTTAATAAAACTTTGATAATATATATTTTTCTATATCAAGATAAAATATTTTTATTTCTTTCTTTGTTTTTCCGGCAATAATGTTGTTCTATGGCACCACAGTACAATTATATTTTCAAAGTTTGATTTGCTTATTTAAACATTTCGTACTTTTTCATGATACAAAATAAAATAATTTCTATTATAATTTTTCTTTTAAATTAATTACTGAAAATAAAGAATTACAAATAAAATTTGAATCACCTAAATACTATCTAAAAAATAAAAAAAATTCATTTTTCTCTCCAAAAACAGCCGTACTATATCACAGACTGGAAATTATAACCAATCAATCTCCTAACCTATCAATAATGTTATAAAAAAACATTAGATTATTTTAATATAATGACATATTCATTCTAGCTAGCTTCAGGCCAAAAAAAATTTATTCTAGCTAGCTGAAACTTAAATATTACACAGTCATTTCGTTCATCAAATACGTTAGGATGCAAAAATTAATTGGTAACACCAACTAAAAGCCAGGTCATCAGATAATAAAAGTAGAGTGTGATCTAAAAATTGGTCAAACATTCAAACCTTATTTGTCCCCCTCAAAGCTAATTAAAGCACTGAAACATAATATTGGCATATTGTATAAGAATTTCAAACTACTTATTAAAGGGGTCAAAAAAGAAGTGTGTGAAATAATGAAATTGGAATGTCATGTGCGTGTGTGTGTGTTGTACACATAGAATTGATGTGATACACGCACATATATATGAGCATGATCTATGTGGATAATTTGGAGCCCTATGTGACACCTTCCTCTAGCAAGAAAGCATAGATTCCTTAACTTTTTAATTTTTTGTTTCCATCCATTCTATTTGGCATATTGTTGGCTAAAATTTGTCTTTGTAAGTGGGCGTGTTAAAAGAAAAGTCTCAAATTATTCGAGAAAGTTTCAATATATTATATTGTATACCAAGATATTAGCTTAATTAGGCTAATAAAAGAGTTAAGAGGAGGAAAGGGCTTAAACGCACAAGAACGAACCAACGCAGTTAATATCTGGTGATTTCCCTTCCTATACACACAGGTTAAATATGATACGTGACACTTTTCAACTGAGAAATATTTTTGCAAAAACATAAAATTAATTGAATAAACTAGCTTTCCCACAAAATTAAAAAAAATAAAATTATTTCTATCCGTTTTAGTTTTGGATTCGAGCTTCCTCCTCCTTTAATTTGTCCAGTTAAGTTCTCCTATTTTATGCAGGCTGGAAAGTTGTCACTGTGCGGGGCAAAATAACTCCTATATATATATATATAGAAATTTAGAAATTAATTATTCACAAACAGATTTTTCCATA